GAGAAAAAGGTCTGTAGCTGTTTTGATCCAGATACTGTTTCATTTGTTGGCATTCTGAAAATGAACGTTCAAAAGTCCTATCCTGGTTTTTATAGTAATCCTTTTTATGAGTGAAATTCTCTTTTAGTAAACAGTATCAATTAAAAATGAAAAACGGTAATACAAGAGTATTTGTGTCATGCTTGTTCATGTGTTGTTTTAGTCAGTATTCTAATGCAAGTTGGTTCATCTTCTGCCTTAGTTTCACATCTGAGTACATCAGAATATATTCTTAATTTCAAAATAGCACTGTGACTTTGTGAGGGCCAAATGTGAATTAAGTGTGGATTTTCGTCTCTCTTCCTTCATTTCCAATTTTTAACAGCTTTTAATTTTAAGTTATTAAATATTAATCTGAATAAATATACACTTGCAGTTTGAGTAGTTAGATGATAAATGTTTAGCGGTTGGTCAGCAACTGAAGGAAGTACAAGGAAACATGATATAACTGACTTGTTTCTCAATATGTCTTTATAATGGATATGAGGAAAAGAAGAGTCATTTGAGAAAAATAGCTATTGAATTTCAAATACAGAAACAAAATATTTGGCTCTTTCACTGTCTTACAAGCATTTGTTTTCTGTAGTGTTTTGTATGAATAAATATGCCCACTTATGTCAGCTGTTTGGCAATTGAAATGGTCCAGCTCGAATTCTTACAGGCTTAAACATTTTTCTCTGGTAATAGTAAAAGACTTTGTGGAGACTTTGTCTGTATTATGTGTTGTATTGTGCGAGTGCTATTATGTTTCTATTAAAAAAAAAAAAAAGAAAGAAAGAAAAATACAGCAAGATGGTAGCCAATTAAATACTTAACCACATATTTCTATTTTCTACTTCGGTGTGAAATTATTGTCAGTTTTCTTACTCTTGGGCATCTAGAATTTGAATTATTTGGAACAGGGGAGAATAATAGGTATGAATTTTTGTGCTAAAAGTTCATTTGAGTATCTAAACAGAATTTAAACCGCACCTGAATTTACTTTTAGCGTGCATTGCATTTTGCAGTTCCAGAGGAATACTAGAGAGAGTTTGGACAGGAACTGATGAGCAAGGTCTGTTGCTTTTTATTTCTGTGCTGAAGGTTCCTCAAATATCATAGGATTTTTTACTTCTACTTGTTAGAGTAATTTTCAGGTCTAATATAAAGTCTGTATTTGAGTTTTATGTTAATCCTCTTTTACTACTTGGGGATTTTCCTGGGTTCTACTGCACAGATAAGGTTGAAGATTTGAAGAGCTGAAATAGGTTTGGGATAGAATTTTTTTTTCCATTGCGACTCTGTGTTCTTGCTGTTTCAGTACAAATGCAGCAGAATCAAAGGAGCTGTGTCACCTCAAGAATTGCAGCATCAGCTGCAAAAGGTTTTGCAGGCTAGTGGGGTACTCTTTACCAGCTACTTGAACGCTGTTGTTTGGAGAAACAAAAGACTTGTTTTGGTCTGTGCTCAGAAATCACTGCCTTCAAATCCTGTAGCTTTCAGAGAAGATGACCATTTAAATAACTATAGGCACGCAATCAGTGAATATATTTACTTTAAAAATTCCCTCAGGTTTTCTATAGTATGCACTAGTGATTGATACTAATTATTCCTTTGCTATTTAACAACAACTCCCTGTTCAATCGTGTAATTTCTTGGATCTGATGATATTCCCTGGAAGATGCACAAAGTACAAATTCTTGTGTTCACAAGAAGACCGTCATCTTGTGCCCCAAACAGAATTGCCAGTTGCTGTAATGATATCTCTCTTATTATTATTATTTGCTTTATTTTAAAAAGGATGACTTGTGTGCGCATTTGCCTCAAATAGAAATTTCGTTCCTCTCAGTGTAGTCCAGATAAGATCTCCACAACAAGTGGATACTCATGAGGAATTTGTACTCCTCCTTCTCTTTGCGCCCCCCTTTCTGGAGACTGACCTGGAAGATAGGCTATATTCATTATGTCTGGAATAAGTTCTGTTGCATTGATCAGCAGTCAGAGAAAGAGACTTGCTTTTCTGGTCCCTTTCATTACAAGGAAAATGTTTCCTGCAAGCCAGTACGTTTGATGAGGAGAAGGATGCTGTAGATCGTTTTGCTTCCGAAGCCACGATTTTGTTTTTGCTGAAAAAATATACTGTGGACTTGTTGACCAGCATCCCCATCTTTCTCATCATCACTTTTCCTCTTTGTTGTTTTCTTCTGTAGGCTATGCCACTGGCTCTGGTTTATACTTTATCTTAGTTTTTAATTTTCTTTGTCTTAAGCGATCTTAATTTCTTTCTTAGTTTTAAGCCTATTTTTACACAACTATTTGCTTTTCTTTTGAGATGAAAGAAGTATCTTTGACAAAGATCATATCTAGATCACTGCTGAGCCATCCAGTGTGTCTTTATAATCTTCATGTCTGTGCCAATTTACCTTATTGCCATAGAGAAGGTTATGATCACGTAATAGTATTTTGTATTTGTAAAATCCAGTGTTACACTTCAAATTTAGTTTAGAAAGAAAATATTGTCAGAAAAGATTTAAAGTACTGCAAACTTTAAATTTAAACTTGTTAGTATAAAAATATATGTATTTATCAAGATCTAGATCTTAAGTCTAGAACATCCACGTCTTAATTCTCACTTTACTTTCTCCTCAGTGTATTATTATTTTCATCCTTCCTTCTGTCATCTAAGATATAATCCTATGGAAATTGACTGTAGTCATTGCCCAGGGAAGGCGTTGTGTATTCTGCAGCAAAATGAGTTGCATTAGCAACACTGTTCAAAATTCAACATTTTAAATTAATTCAGCCACAAGAAAGATGCAATTTGTTCATATTTTCTTCTCTGCATTGTCACATTTTCGTATATATAACCTGTAGATCAGCATCTTTTGAAATTCTGTTCATTTGAAAAGATTCACTGGGTAATTCACATGCTCAGATAACTTGCATATGGTACATTAAGAAATAATTGTATTCTGAGAGTCGGGACAGTAAAAGACGGGGAGATGTGGCAGGGGAAGCAGATGATGGGTAGCAGGAAATGCCTGGTAAACCGTTCAAGGTATTACCTGCAAGCTGTTGAGGTATCACTCTGTTTTGGCCAATACCTGCAGATTGTACTGATATTTGAAAATACGTTACCTGCTCAGAAACAGACCTGAAGAGTTAGCTAACTTGCTCTCTACGCAACTAGATTTTTTTTTTTTGTTTAATCTGAGTAAATTTCTACATGTTATTGAATACTTAAAATCATGTGCATTATTATTGAAGATAAAACATTCAAAAAAAAATTTTGGTTTCAGAATAATTACATTTACAGATCCACATATGATATTTAAATTAAAAAAAAATGTCAGTCCCAGAGAATAATTGAATCAAAGGCTGAGCTGATTCCCTAGGTGAAAACACTAGGGACCATTTTTCTTTTATGTTCACTTGATTTTGTTCCTTGTGAAAGTTGCACTGAACATTAGCTTTTCCTACGTTATCCTAAGTGTCAGTTAACACTTCCCTTCTGAAACTCAAAGGAACAAGATAGGCTTTTCACTCATTGAAAACCCGGTTTCTACATTTAAAAAGCTTACTGCTGTCTGTATTTTAGGGCACCTAGCAGGAATTCTTCCACTTTCATATGTCAAGAGTCAGTAGTGCTTCTCTCTAGTAAATGTTGAATCAAAGAAGTGGCTGCAGTTAGCAAAAGGATTATTATATCTCTTTTTGCTGTCATTCTTCCTTCTTGGTTTATAAAGAATATAAGAAAAGCCTTGGCGTGCCAGATCAGTTCAATATTTTCTCCAAACGTTAACTACCACCACACTTTTTAATAGAAATAAAATAAATGATTTTTAATGGACAGCTATGTAATAATTAATTACATTCAGTTCTGCTGCTGTTCTCATTTCCTGTAAAAATATCTCTTAAAATCTGGCAATTCCTCAAACCCTAATTCTTAATTCCTTTCAAAATGCATTATGATTATTATATTAAATATTCTTATATGCATTTATATATTTGTTATTTGTGTTTTATATCCTTTATAAAGGAGGATATGGCATGATATAAAAGTTGAGAAGTCTTGTCTTCTGAGGTAATAGAAATCTTGATTGGTAACTTTTTTTCTTCCTCTTGAACTGCCCCTTGAAAGAAAACATTCTCTGAGAAAGTTGGTGGGCAGTTTGTCCCCTTTCCTTCTTGTAAGTCTGCCAAGACAGCGTACCTGGGAACTGATAAATCATATTGCACTGGCCTTTTGACAAGGTTTTTTGGGGTGTGTGCGTATGTAATATATACATATATTTTATGTACACACACACATATACACATGCACACACACTGTATATAATGCATATAATATATTCTCACAGACTTAACATGTATATAAGAAAGAGTTAGCGTTCCAGTGAATGCTGTTTTTTCCGTATTGCATTTCAGAAGTTGTCAAAATAGTGCTAGTCTTATAGGCCTGTCAAATTTGGCCTTTTAATTTCAAAAACATAGCTGTCTTCATCCTTTTCATTAAAAGCTTTTTGTTTTCTGATCTGTCTATTGGATTGTAGTCACAAAACTGTCAACATTGGCAGAACTTGCCTAAGATGTTTAAGAACATCTGAACTTCTGAATTAATCTTTCTAGTTTTTCAATATGCTAATGTGTCTTTGCAGACAAATTTAAAGGTATATACCACATAGTAGTTTAATGTACAGTGAAAACTGACTGGTGTTTTAATTTATATAGACCCTTTTATTGCCTTGGACTCATTTATTGCTTTAGGTAACAAGCTTAATAAAATTCATGCTAAATCTTTGACATGCTTGTTAAAATATTCTTGATTTGTAAACATTGTTAAATATCTTTTTATTGCATGTTGAAGCTGAAATATACATATTACAGTATGTTGTAAAGGTCAGATCATGCTATCTTAACTGTTTATAACAAATTATTCTTTTTAATGTTATCTTTTTTTGTTGTGGTTTACTTTATTGTAGGTTGGTTGGAGTACTGCAAGAGATTATTACACGTTTCTTTGGTCACCTATGCCAGAAAATTATGTGGAAGGATCAACTGTTAATTGTGTGCTGACTTTTCAAGGTAGGTATTTATTACATAATGTAGTATCTATCTGTAATTAATAGCTTTCACAGTTTTAAAAACTTGATATATAGATTAAAATGCTGTATAAAAGCTTTAGATTTTTAAAAATACATGGAAAAATCTCTTCCAATGTAATGTCTTCTATGTGCTTTTTGAGGTTTGTTGTTGTTGTCACTTGTATCAAGTTTGTTCTGATTTTAGATGTGAAAAAAATTGTAAGAGAAACGTGTGACTCTGTATTTTTGCATAGCAGCGGATGATATCCGTGACTGATGGAAAGCAGCTCTGCAGCATGGAAACTATTCAAACACAGAAAGTGACTTTGCTTAATTATTGGTAGGGTTTTTAAATCTTGGAATGTCTCAGAACATTGTGTCTTTACATTGAGAATGGTGTTTAAAGGCTAGAGACTAGAGTGAGCCTTGTCAAGGAACAAAAGGGCAAATAATGTGTATGATAAAGTTTGATGATAGTTCAGAATTTTTCGAAGTGTTCCAGAGAACCTTTTGTTAGTGAAGTATCGATAACATAATTGCTGAAATTCAATTATAGATAAATATAAAATAATCCACAGTGAGGGACTTTGAATTCAAATTATTATTCAGGAATAAGATCTCAGTTTTATAGTAGTTGTACGAAAATATCTGTTTAGTGATCAGTAGCAAACCCTTTCCCCTCTCCCTCCCTACCGCCCCCTTATACAAGATGATTAGAATTTTTTAAGAATGGAAGAACAAAACAAAACGGTACAAATCTGTAGTATACCTGCATTTTCAACACTACTGTGAAGATCAGATTCTCTCCCTCCCCCTCCCAGTCTCAAAAAAGATCTAATGGTCCTGGAAAATTGACGAAGACCAACAGGAAGATCAAAATTAAGAAATTGCTTCTATTTAAAGAAGTGGCGTTACGAAGATGACACAGCCAAGCTCTTCTCATAAGAGACAGTGGCCATGAGTTGCGGCCTGGGAAATTTAGCTTCAACATTAGGAAAAACTTTTTCACCAAGAGGAAGCAGTGCAGTGCTCAAACAGTTATCCCAGAAAGGTTTGGGAGGATGGGATTCCAACGGATTTGATTCGACACAGCCACAGCGGACCCAATCTGGCGCTGACAGCAGTGTCTTTTTGAGTGGAAAGTTGGACTAGATGACTTTCAGAGCTTCTTTCTGCCAGGCATTTCAGCCTAGGAAAAGGAAATAATAAGTTATGACAGATGTCCGTTAAAAGGCAGAAGAGCTTCCCATGGCAGGGGTAAACTTTTTTCATTATTAGTATTTAAAGAAGTAGTAGGAGCTGTCAATGTAAGCTACCAGGTGACAGGTTCAAAACAGAGATAAAGAAATAGTACTTTTATAGTGCAGTTGATGTGCAGAACTTTCTGGAAATTATGGATCAACTCTGGATATTATGGATCAACACACGCATCTGCAAACCTGCGTGTAAAAAAAGCACCTCCATTAAATTTGCTTATGCTTGTTTTATGTACCACGAGAGTTTTTTGTAGCATCATATATTCTTTTTTGTTTTTCCACAGTTGGCTTTACTCTTTATATAGGTACGTGTGTGGGTGTGTATTGCTTCTAACACAGCGTAGAAGTCCAGAGTGGCTCCTGGGTTGGTTGATTGACTTGTTAAGGGATGGATTCGCCTGTAGCCGAATATAGCGATAGCTTGAGTGATTTACTGTTCTTTCTCTTATCCCCAAGTCGATTTTTCTGTTAGCTTTGGTGGTGATCATATAAAATGGTCAGAAAATAGATCATGTGGATAACTTCGAATTCTGTGAAATGTGTATGTTTCCTCTAGAAACTGAGGAAAAAGTCATCCATTTCTTTTACAGTTATCAAAAATCCACTGGCTAAGAATGAATGACATTGGGTTGGACTCAAACTACAAGTGATGTAGAAACAAAGGACTCTGCTTCCCATTGTAGTCCTTCGAGTTATCCAGTGTTTTCATGTGTGGTGTAACTTAAGTATGGTGTCATTTGTTCTTTGCTTAAAGTCCATCATTTTTATAGAGCTCCCAGATCTCCATTCAAACAGTCTCCCTCTTGTATTTGAGATGTTTTAGTACTACTGAGATGAGATCATTAAAGCTTACAGGAGGTTACTTATCTGGCATAAGTGGTACTGTTTTGCAGCATGCTTTAAGTATTTTTGTATGACCAAATAGGTGTACTGAGGGGGGGGAAAGGTCAGGAGATTATTCTCTCCAGTACACGTTTGATACTAGAAAAAAAATTTTAATTAGTTTTAAAATCAGCTTGAACCAATTTAAAAACTTTCTGGAGCTGCAGGATAGATTGTTCTGAACCAGTTTCTGTGTAGTTCCACCTTATTTGAGAATCAGGTAAACGGGACTTAAAACTGCAGTGATACCTAGGAAAATATAGGCAGATCCAAAAGTGCAGAATCCCAACTTTTTGACCCTAATATATGAATGAAAATATGAAGTGTTGCGTAATGTTGGTGCCGTCCATGTAGTGAGTTTTTTCTGTTTGTTGGAAAAGTAGGTAAGAGTACTGTGGAAAAAATCTTCCAAGAATCTGGAGTGAACGTTAATCATATTAATTAAAACAGCGATTCTGATGTTACACTTGACTCAAAACTGAAGGAACATCATGGAAGGCACGTGAAAGAAATTCCTGGATTTTTTCATTTGCTTATCTTAATTAAGGTTTTTATCAGACCTTTTTTGTGACCTAGAGAAGATTTTAGTTATATTTAGATTTCATTATTTTGAGTGGCACTTAAAAACAATTTCAGAAATGTAGATTATGCTCTCTTGTGCGTTTTTGGTACCTTTCTCATCTCTACTAATAGGCAAAATAAAAAAGATTTGGTGTAAGCTGATAGAATGAGAAAAGAGTGTGTGTGTGTGGGGGGGGGAATACAACCTCACAAAATCTATTCATGACAAAACACTTATTAAATTTTTGTGACATTCAACATCTGTTTCTGGAAGTACTGGACATCTAGTGAATGGAATTTATTGATAAAAAAGGTAATAGAAGGGTAAATGGAAGGATTAAATCATGGTGAAATATGGACAGAAATGGGTGACAATGCCTGCCACTGGATATTTATTTAAAAAAAAAAAAAGTGGGGTCATCAGGTCAAATGTTAGATGGGGATTTTGTATGCTGGTATCTTCTTCAAACTATTTAGGATATCTGATAATTCAGTGTTCTAAATAAAACCAGATGGTTTTATTAGCATGAAATTGAATTGAGTGTAGTTTCTTGTATTTGCTAGTAAAGGTAAAAATCTCATTAGTTCTGGAAATGATTATTTAACATCTGCAAGCATGTCAGTTCAGGTGATAAGGGGCTTGATGCTGAAGATATAGTGGGCAACAGTTACATTCAGTAGTCATACAGAAATTCCTCTGAAATAGACTGCTAATATGTGTATGTAGTATTGCATAGCTGTAAGAAAGACAATTTCTTCTTTGCTGAGGCAAAACTAGAATAAAATTTGTTTTTCTCAATTTCAAAAAATAAACTCTTAAGTCTTTGATTTTTTCTATCAGTGCTTGCAGCTCACTAACATTGTGTGATCCATTCAGAGCAGTCCCTTGCTTTGGCACTTAGTGCAATTGGCTTTTACTCCATGAAAGCATGCAAAACTTGAACCTGGTAAAATTGCAGACTTGTCTTATTCTATCTTCATGTGGTGTTTTTGATTTTTAGTGAATAAGTGATTTTGGTGGGGGGGGAGGACCTGGAAATGTTTGTTCTGTGTTTGTACAGCAGTTGCATAATAATGCAGTCTCAATCCATGTTTAGAACTTCAGGGCATCTCATTGCTGATAACTGAATCAATCTACTTCCTGTACATATATTCAGCAGCTATTATCTAATGTATTATAAGGTGATGTGTATACATAGCATCTGTTACCTGACAGTCTTCTAGGCCTTTATGTCCTATAATAATAATAAAAGCTAGGAGAGAATGTTTTGGGGAGGGGAATTGACTAAAAATGATGGCTTTTGAGTATGAAAGATACTGTAAGTCATACATGATCTGATAATGTATTTCCAGATGAGGACTGGCATAATAAATGTATTTCTGTTTATGATGGTTTGTTTAAAAACATATTTATTTTGATAGGATATTACCTACCAAATGATGATGGGGAATTTTACCAGTTCTGTTACGTGACACATAAAGGAGAGATCCGTGGAGCAAGCACACCTTTTCAGTTTCGTACCTCTTCCCCTGTTGAGGAATTGCTTACTATGGAAGATGAAGGAAACTCTGATATGTTAGTGGTGACTACAAAAGCTGGACTGCTCGAGGTTTGACTCACCGGTTTTCAAAATGTTACCCATCTCCTCATTTATGCATGCTTCTAGCTTTTTCTTTATTTGATAGATGAACCTGCAGACCACTTACAGGTTAAGTGAGTAAATTTTTAGTATGGTATTGCAATGAGGATAGACTGGGAAACCATAAGGGTTATTAATATATGCTCTCCCATCTACACTGTCCAACTAAGTAAATAGGCCAGTATTTCAAACGTAGCTTCCTGTTTGGAGGAAGGGGGGGAAAAACAGATATCCTTTGTGTTAAAGGGTGCTCATTGTAAGGCAAAAGAATTAAGGAACTAGTATTCTTTTAGTTATGCGCAACTGGAGAGTCCTGGAAACGGAGCTGAAAAATCGCAGGTGCCTAAGTGAGTTAGAACAGCTTGTTTTCTTAAAGCAGTGTTCTGTCTGCCATCTTCTTTGCTAAATTGATGTGGTTAGACTTGTGTGCTTGCATCCAGAGTCAAGACACTTCCACCTGCTTCTTGATACTTTATAGGCTAAAGCATACTTAAAAAAAGAAAAATCATGCGAGTTATTTATTGGAAAACTGCTCTGTATCTTCTCCTTAGTCTCCCATCAGATGTTTAATCTTTCTTTCAGTTGCCTCTATGCACTTGTATACAAGTCTTTGATTTATAGCATTCAAAATTTAGGGATAAGAGACTGTACAGAGATACAGCTGGAATATTTTTGCTTCTCCGGTCTTGGAGTATATGCCCATAGTGCTAAAAGTGAAGAAAAAGACCTTTCAAAACCTTTGCGATTGTCCCAGTTCATGTGCCTGTCCTTACTTGTGGCTATGTATGCATATTCAGTATTTTGTGAAATTCCTCAAACATTGTTTTAATGTGTGTGTCTACACTCAGCAGCCTTTTCTCACCAAGCTGTCGTCATCTTAATTAGCTCTTCCACAATTGTGGTCACTTGGGAGCAGTAAAAGCACTTCACTTAAGGAGGAAAAACTTGAGTACAAATAAAGACACTACAAAATGTGCTATCTAATGATGATGTAGTTAGTACTAGTTAGTTAAAATGAAATTTCAAAAATTTAGGGAAAAAGAAAACTAAAATAACCTAGCCAGAGAATGCACAAGTTTTGTGCTTCTACTCAAATGTAGGAGTAGCTAGTCATCCATTCATTTAATAGGAAATGTGGGGAGAAAATTATCAAAAAAGAATGTTTTTGTTTTTACAGTTTAAAATTGAAAAAATAATAAAAGAAAAAGAAGAGTTATTAAAGGTAACTGCTGTTCTGGAAAAGGAAACTGAACAACTCAGAGATCAAGTCGAAAGACTGGAAAAAGAACTTAACCATGAAAAGCAGAGATGTGACCAACTGCAAACAGAGCAAAAGGTTAGTTGTATAACTGATTAAAGCTGATGCAAAATGTCTGTAATCCTCCTTTTTTGAGAACCAATTAAACTGGGTGAAAATCGGCTATCAAAAACCCTCAGCAGTTAGATAGACATTTACACTAGAATAGGTCAGTTCCTATTAACCTCCTGCCACTATTCCTTTTATGTCGTAAAATGGTTAAAATATTTAAGGCTTTTGGTACCAGGCTTGGTAAGATAATCGATGACAGCTGTTACCAGATGTTTGACATTTAATTGTGGAATTCATAGTGGAAAGTAGTTGACAGTTTAAAGTTTGCTTATGTTAGTTGAGAATGGAGGAAGACTTTTCAAATAACTCCCATTAAGGAGTAATTATGTAGAACACATGATATCGGAAATGGGGGGGAAAATTTTGGTATTATAAAAACACACATTAAGACTTAACAGAGAATGCTACTGCCAGAGCATACAAAGAGTAAAAAATAAGTCAAGGCTTCTCTAAAAGCCTTCACAGAGGTCTGAAGATTTTAGAAGTGAGGGGAAAGAAAAACAAACCTAAAAAGTAACTTACAGTGTTGTTTAGTAGTGGAAATATAAATATAGCCAAAACCAGAGCAAGTTTCATTTGGAACTTCTACATATGGTAAGGGGGAAATCTAGTATAATAGAGAAAGGTATACAAGAGTCGGACCTAATCCGTTTTTAAGCTGCTGCTTTTTAAAAAACAACTTTTAGGAGAAGATTAAAAACATGTGGGAGGGAGGTGGTGACATGGACAAATTTGAAGTAATGAAGCCTATATAATTTAGCTGTGGACAGCAGTTAATAGGCTATTTCTAAATGCCAGTATGTATATGTCAGCAGTTCTGCCTGATACACCTTTAAGAGAAAGGAATTTGTTGAAGGAGTTTGAAACTGTTGAAACTTTGTAGTTTACTTTTGAACACTCAGAGTCAAGTGCGTAGATACTAGAATATTAGATAAAGGAAAAGAAAAGGCTAAGATCTGTTTTTTTAAAAAAAAAGTTTAAAAGTTGCTTCTAAAAGAATTATTTTAATTTTAAGAACGTATGAGGGCCAGCTTAAATCAGTAAGACTAGATTTAAATCCCTTAAGCGTTTTATGTATTTGTTTGATGTTCCAATCAGGAGCTTGGTGGGTAAAACTGAATGAGCTATATAGACACCTTTTGCTGTCATCTGAGGTTCTCATCTAAAAAAAGTGGGAAAAAAATTGTGAATTCTAATACATATTACCTTTACTATGCCTTTTTAAAAACAGCTTATCAAATTGGATTTTGACAACTGGCCAGCACTATATCTTATACAGAGAGACTATATAAGAACAGAAGTGTTCTCGTACTTTGCACTTAACCTGTGAGGTTTTTTGGTTCTAAAGACTCATCTTTAAGACACCAGGATTTAGCAATTAGAATTTAATTTCAGGAATATTGTATTTTATGGTTTGTTATTGCCTTATATTGTGTTCAAATGGTGATGCAACGTGAAGAACTTCCGTTTATGGCTCAGCTAAGTAAGTATGGGGGAGAAGACTAACCTGAGGCTGGTACTGCTCTTCATCTGTCTATAATACTACAGAAGTTTTCTAACTTCTGCAGTTTTTTGGTCTCTCTCTTAAAAAGAAGAAAATTGTCGAAGAATTATGTTCCATTTTCTGCTGAGTTGAAACTTCTTTCTTTCCTGTATCTACATAAGCAGAATATAAATCTTGTGTCACTACTGAAAACCAAAACTTGATTTCACTGAATCAGGTACAGTAAATTAACCTGTTCCTCATCAGAAAGTTTAGTAAACAATAGTTTGTATGCAGCTTTTTATAGAACCTTTCCAGACCTGAATGATTTCCTGTCTTCCTCCTTCTCCTTATCTCCCTGCTCCAATACTTAAAATATAGTGCAGATGAGGCAATATATGATTTATCTTTGCTGGGAACACTGTACAGTAGGTTAATGGATAGACTTAAAGATTCCTGAGCAGCAATTATACAGCTCTTAATTAAAATAACTAGATTTTATTTTCTTTGTGCTTTAAAAAAAAGTCAGCTTCTTGTGACATAAATAGTTGTCATAGGCAATAAACTTAAACAGTGCATTAATCCAGCCATTTAAAAAAAACAAAGCCAGAAAGAATAACCTTGAAATGTTAAGTAATCAAAATATAGTTAAATTCTGTATGACAGCAGAATCTTCTCCTGTGCTTAGTGTGAGGTAGACTGCTTTTTCTTAAACCTTTAAGTTAAAGAATGATTGTTCTAAGTAGTTGAGTGTTTTTATTGTCCATGCTCCCTTGTCACATACAGATAGATTTTTAGCTATGTTCTGAATTTTGTTGTATAAATAGATAAAAAGTGGAGTTAGTTTAAATCTTTTTATAAAAAAAATTTAATTTATTCAGATATAGAACTCCAAATACTTTAAAAAAAACCTCTTTCAATATACTTCAGGGAGTATTAGGTTAATGACAAACATTAAAGCAAAGTATTCTATATACCCAAATAGAGTAATTATAAACACTAAGGTAAATATCACTGCCTTTGTAGTTTAAGAAGAAGCTGTGAGTAATGGAAATCTTAATTTCTGTTAAAATAAAACTAAGCTACATTTAACTACTTAGACAATCTCTGACTAGCATATTAATTTTTTTTTTGCAACTACCTTTTGCCAAGAAATGCTCAAATAATATTTCTATTTGACCAAAGGCCCTATAAAATACCAGATTAGTGCAAAGGATTGTATTTTCTAAAAGCAGAATTAGTACAAGTGAAGGACATGAGCGTTTATTCTATTTGAGAGCAAAGCTATTTATACTGCTAATGTGTTAGTAAGTGTTATTTTTTACCACCACTTTTATTCTGATAAGGAGGCCCTGGCGTCATGAACCCTTCTATATTAAATACTGGGCAATTCACTTGCCCCTTTTTTAGAAAACTTATCATATTAATTGCCTAGAAAAAATTATGAATCTCTCTTTGGCTTTTGATTAAGCTACCCTGTATTTTTATAATGAAATTTAACCGATTTTTGGATTGTAGCAAGACGTCATAGTAGATGAGTAAATTTTCTTACTGCAGCACAGTATAGCAAATACAGCTTATGTTCTTGATAGACAGGCTCCGAGTCCATAACATGAAAATATTTTGTTAAAGCATAGTTTCGTAGAGTCATATCTTGTGTTATGACGCTTTTTCTTTCTGATACTGACTTATTTTTCAGTTCTGAGAAATGCAGAAACATGGATTTCCTAATGCAAATAGCCATTGACAGACACAGCTATATCCATATTACTGTTTCCCTCCCACTCTTGATGTATTTGCTTCATTCCTTCCACCTAGCTGCTGACACAGAGTTCTGGGCAGTAGAAGTGTTGCCTTCTGTCTCTACTTTTTGACTAGTTGGGATGCTTTACAAGTAGTTCTTTGGAGGCTATTTGGGGCTCATGTTAGGAAGAAGCAAGCTGAAAATAGACCCTTCCCCCAGAGAAGATAGTATATTCAATTAAACTTATTCAGGTCTAATACAATCAGTGTGTTCACAGCATTTAAATATTGGACTACATGCACTATATGCCTAAGCTATATGTTTATGAAAATACGAAGATTCTCATTTCTGTGCTTTAGAAACAGATGAGTCCTGGTATTTATACGTATCACTTCAGACTAGTAAGGATAACTGCCATGACAAATTACAGATTTAATTTTGCTAACAATGTTGTTGCTGTTCAGGAGACATGCGGTTTTTTGTTACCGTCTTAACAAGATTTCCATCTCGCTTCCTACCAAAGATGGAGTGAGGAACAAATGAATTCAGGGCATAAAGTCGTAATATATTGTTAGGATTGCAGAAACATTGCTTCTGAGTCTCAAACGTTACAGCATTTGAAGCCATTTCTTGTCCTTAAAGGTTTCGATCTTTTATGATATTTTTAATTTATCAGGTTTAAGTAAATATCAGTATTTTTGTTTGTATTTTAATCTCTACGTTCATGATTCTGCAGACTTAGTTTGCTCAGGTTGCCATCACTATCATCATAGAAAAAGAATATTTGTAGGACACAGCTCTGTGCTAACCAGTGTTTGTGCTCAGAGGGAGCATGCCCTCCTGCCCCACTACTGCTTTTCATACAGAGTTCCTGGCTCTGTGCTGGAAGTGGATAGGCACAAGAGGAGGCATTTGGCTGTTCCTGCAATTTCATCTGTCTGAATTAACTCTTGCCTTTTATAAAAGGTGATGAACTTTGTGTGTGTGTATACCACAGCATACAGAGCACAATTTGGGAAACTTTAGCAGGTCTGCACTGGAAACATGCATAGTTTTGTTTTCCTTCAGCTGATCACAGATGCACACAGCAGTATGGATTTTACACGATATTTTGACAGATACTTCATACACTTTACATGTTATGGTTAGTGCCATTACATTATAATAAAATAAGCTTAGGATACTATAGAACTTGGGACAAATCTTCCATCTTTAAGGTTGATCTCTTCCTATTCTCTTATTCAGAGGCTATTTAGCAGATCTAATATGTAGTTATTTGACAAGATCAGCTTATGGAGGGAATGGAATCATAACCTTCAGAGCTGGATTCTGACATGTGAATCTTTGCAAACTTTCTCCCCTGTCTCCTTCTGGCCCCCCCCCTCCCCCCCCCAAATGCACTCTTCCTGTGCCTGCTACTTTGGTCTCCTGAAAGAGCTTTGTGCCTGTTACAGAAAAGCATGGTGTCCTTCTGCAGCCTTTTTCATGCCAATTTAACTATACCTGGATTTCCCCCATATGACATGAAGCTAGCTTGCATACAGTGCAAAGGTTTACCTTATCTGCTGCTACTCTGTTTGGGAATTAATACTAAATATGAAAGTACTGAAAGTATTTCAGAAATGTCGCATCTCTTCTTTCTCAGTTAGTGTTTCTGAGTTAATTTTTTTCCAGGATGATATTCCTTGATAGTATACTTACTTTTCAGAGTCGTCATGGTATATAGAGTTTGCGACTCTA